CAATTAAACTTGGATTTGCACTTAGATAAAACCTTGAAATAATTAACAGTTTCAGTAGCACTAATATAATTATCTTTTAAATGTTGTCCTATGTTACCTTTACTGTGCATAATCATTTCTTATTTAAAATAGAATTATTTAATCAATCAGTAACTTGTGTTTTTTTTAATGAAATTAATGATTTTTTTTAAAAGATGCTACCCAAGGCGAGACTTTTTTTATACCTTGTTTGACAAACTAGCTGACTATTGTACATTTTACTGTACTGTTTTTCCGTTTTAAAATGTTTGTGCTCGTTAGCAATTTAGATTTGTTGTTGATGTTATCCATGACAGTAATACGTACCGCGAAATGCCAGGCCTCTGAAAAGTCCCCATCGTTGGTATTCGCCACGTTATTGGAAATTTTTATTTCAAATTTCGCGAAAATGGTTTATAACATTCCCTGCAAGTTCGTCGTTCAAAACTGGTGCCGAATCAATGTTTTAGAGCCTCCCACCAGAACCATTAATAATAATAATAATAATATTAATAATTTGCCGCAAATATAGTAATAATATCTAATAATATTATTAATTTTAAAAAATACTTAGACCTACTCCCAGAGCTACTCATAGGAGCTAAAAACTAATTTATTTTAGTTCTCAAATATGCATATTCTTTATGTTGATTTATTAATTGAATTTTTGCTACAAGATATTTTACAACATTTGTTTATTTTTTTTTTCTTTAATTTTATAATTGAGGACCATTTTTTATTTCTTGATTCAATTCTTGCTTATACAGTATTTAAATATTTGAAGATTAAAAAAAATATATATCATTTCTATTACCGAATTTTTCATTGGGGCCATTTTTACCTACCTGTCATATGGGGGCCATTTTTACCGGGGCCATTTTTCTGGGGCCATTTTTTCCGGGGCCATTTTTTCTGGGGCCATTTTTTCCGGGGCCATTCTTACCTACATTCTGATTTGGTAATTGATTCCAATCGTTCACTACTCTAACTACATATGAAGATTTTCTAACATTTAGTTTAAATTTCGGCTTAGAGACCTTAAATTTGTGTCCTTTAGTTTGGCTAATCCTCGACATTTTAAATAGCTTATTAATATTAACCCTATCTATATTTCTATTACGTTTGAAAGCAGAGTATGAAACCGTGTTCCTGATATTGAATTTTAAAAATGTTGGTACTATTATAACTGAAACTATTCTTAAAAAGCTCGGTAAGATGACGTGGGAGTGAATAAAGACCCCAGGTGAAGGATCTGCTAATGATGTTACGCACAGGAACAATGGATAAAGAGAGCATGCAGGTAGCCCGGAGCAGTGCCGACGGCCGCTCTGAAGGAGGCAACCAAGTAATGCACCCTTGACATTTAATTGTTTGAGTGTGGTGCATATGATGGTGGAAACAGAGCTGTAGTCCCACGCATTACATCAGATTAGTTAATATATACCTCCATGGTTAATATGAGGGAGAAATTGAGTTGCATAGGAGAATGGAAGTCAAAGTGTTGATGAATTTTCTGGTTCCGGAAAGCACAGAAACAGCATGACCAATTTTGGAACGGAGGTGACTTCCACGTGGTTTCCATGAGAGTACATTGTACACGGTAAGACCCAGATGTTTGTACATAGTAACTTGACCGGTGAGATAATTGCCGAAGGAAAGATCTAATGATGGGTTGTTATTTAATTTGTGTGTAGTTTCAATGAGCATTGACATAGTTTATCTGTTAATGAGAATTCTGTTGTGATAAAGCCATTTATGCAGTGATGGTCTTGTTTAAATGAATTTTGAATAGTGTTGAGTGAGTGGTCTGAATAATAATTTATAGTATCCTCTGCATACATAGCGGTATTGGAATTGGAATAAAAACATGAAGGTCGTTAATAAAAAGAGTAGCTAAGAGGGGGCCGACGAGAGATCCTTGTGGTATACCTATAAGGCAACAGGGAGAGGTGTTGATTTATTTGAGTTGATGGAAACACGCTGGAGGCGGTCCTTCATGAATGCAAAGATTAAGTAGTTGGATGGCGGGGAAAAAAATTGTAAGTAATTGGGGAGTTTATTAAGGAAGATGTCGTGGTAACCAGGTCAAATGCTTTTTTGAAATCAATGAATTAAAGACGGTTCCCACAAAATGCCCTTTATCAATGCTGGAAAACTATGAGTTTTGAGTAGTGGTACTGCTATAAGGGTGGAATGTCCAGGTCTGAAACCTGATTGGCTGTGACGGTCAGTCGATCGGTCAATTGATCGACTGATTGATTGAATGAATGTGATTGATTGATTACTTGATTGATTGATTGATCGGTTGCTTGAATGAATGATTGATTGGTTAGCTGATTGAATGAATGATTGAATTATGACTAAAGGTTATATATTCATTTATTTTTGGTTTATTTTGACACAAAAAATAGTATTGAAGGCGAAACCGTGGGTTAAAGGCTAAAACAAAATAGTGGGTACATCTTCGAAAAAAAAAAATGTACAGTGAAATGTAAAAAGCCAATAAAAATAATTATACAAAAATACAATAATCAATCATGTTATTATAATGATATCGAATGCTTGTAGTGATCATAGGCAAGGTAAACCGATAATAACACATATTTAGATATAATTATTTGTTTATGTCATCATCATGTTTGAGCTTAAGTTTAAGTTTAGGTTTTATGGCAGACTGTACGTCGCTTGTGTCAGTCCGCACTATTAATAGTGTGGTTGGCCACTTAAAGATGTCAACCTGTTGATACACCTGCCCCTACGACGCCTCCGTCTTTAGAGCCATCTATTTTACATTGCTTGAGAACTTTTACAAAAGGTGTTACCTTGTCGTCTGTCTATGTGAGTCTACCGAGTTAACCAAGAGCCTGAAAGTGTATTTTAGCCCGTTTTTTTTTTTTTTTTTTTTTTTTTTTCGGTTCAATTTTCTGGAGTACACATTTTTGCCGTCCATGGGATTCTCAGCATTTTACGTCAGCTAAATTTTGAAAGCGTTAATTCTGTTAAAGTTAACTGGAGAAGGCCAGTACTTGGACAAGTCGTGTTTTTGTAGTTTCTGTAATACATCGAGCTTCGTCACAGTGAATCTTGCCATTGTAAACGTCTTCTGATTTTTTTTTTCTGTACAGCTGCAGGCTATCTAAGGTAACAGCCTCATATATTTAAAGCAGACTCGCTCCGGAGGACATTCTTTGGTTTGATATGCTGTAAAACTGATTTTCTATCTAAGATATAAAAAGCATGTTTGACAAAAAACTCAGTTAATGAGATACAGATTTGTTAATATTTAAAAACCTGGGGACCAACCAACCTTGTTTTAACCTTTTGCCCCAATTTTTTTAATATTAAAAAATCTCATTAACAGCCTTCAATTTTTTTGTTTTTTTTTTTTGTTTTTTTTGTTTTTTTTTTGTAAAATATGCCTTACGTGTCCTAGAAACAGTTCTACAACAATCAAAACAAAATTTCCTCTGGAACCATGCTTAAAAGTTTAATTTAATTCTTTTTCGTACGTTTGATCATTATATAAACGCAATATGTTTATTACCTTCTCTACACAGTACTTAAGTATGTCCTCTTCATTAACAGTTGTACACCCATGTAATCTATATACAATATTAAGAAAACAAATTATTGCTATATCTGTTGAAAGAAGAGGCCTCAACTCAAAGAGTGCTGTTCATAGTATGATACTCGAGTAGAAAGGACACATGTATATGTCCCTCACCAATATATATTATATTATATTATATATATATATATGTATATATATATATATTATAATATGAATTAAATTTAGATTTTATGTCAACCCCACTCCCCAACATAAACATGCGTAACGAAAAGCCGATAATTCCGCAGAGCCAACGGCCAACCATGCCTTAGTTTAGGAAGTAGGTTTAGTTTTATAGAACTACAATTATTGTTATATATTCCCACTCTATTATATAAAAACTCTAAAACCTCAATCACCAAGAGCATAGAGGCTTTAATTATAAGTCAATTGACATTTATATTGTAGGCCTACGTACTATAACGTATTAATAGCACATTCTTAAAATAATGTACGCAATAATTACATTATACATGCACATACGTCTTCTCCCACTCTGTAGTCAGGTATGCCAACAACCTAAAAAAATGTTAAGCAAACAAAAATGATAAGTATGTTTTTTTTTCATAAATACTACGAAGGTTTGTTGGCAGCTATAAAGAAATGTTACAACATTTACATGGTTTCAAACTACCATTAACCAGTTATATGGAAGGTTTTTTTACATGCATACTTATGAATATTTTCAATGTAATTTACGAGATTTAATTTATAGTTTACATACAGAACTGTTCTTGCAAAAGAAATTAGTTTACACAAACCATGGAGTCCTCCATGCACAAACACTGTGTAAAAAATAAATGCCAAAATGCTAAAGTGGTACAAAGTACCAAATTCCATAAATTAAAGAATATATTTTTTTGCTTACTACCATAAAATCATTCTAATGCGTGCTCTTTTATTTATATTCAATTGCTGTTAAATGTTATTAGATGTTTTGTGGTGTATAATTGGCCTACTGTATTTGTAAAATTTTTAAAATATATTATAAAGTATAATACAGAGTGTAAACCGTATTAAATTGAAAACATATTTACTACTATCGCATCATTACCACTGAATTCATAATACCTTAGCTTTGTTGACTGATGGATGACTTGTAAGTACAATTTCTACCACCGACGGATGTATATTTATACCATTACAAATTATTAAATCCTGTAGTAAGGTCAAGATATCAAACTATACATATATTTGAATATATATATATATATATATATATATATATATAATTCAAATGTAAACATAAAAACATAGTTGTAGAAAAAATGAAATAACAAAGATACAGACGTGATAAAAACAAACTCCATATAGAAAATACAGCTTACGGGAGTCTCGGATAGAGCCACCAGAAATAAAACATTTAGAAATGTTTGATCAACAAATGTATTTTCATGTAACTACTACTACCACCTCCATCATCATCAAGTAAAAAGCATAATAGTATAATACAAAAAAATTATATATATATATATATATATATATTTGAATTTATATATATTTGAATATGTATTTGAATATAAATATATATATATATATATTTGAATATATATATATATTTGAATATATATATATATATATATATATATATATATAATTCAAATGTAAACATAAAAACATAGTTGTAGAAAAAATGAAATAACAAAGATACAGACGTGATAAAAACAAACTCCATATAGAAAATACAGCTTACGGGAGTCTCGGATAGAGCCACCAGAAATAAAACATTTAGAAATGTTTGATCAACAAATGTATTTTCATGTAACTACTACTACCACCTCCATCATCATCATCGCCAGCATCATAATCATTAACATTATCACATCGTACTATTACCATTATCATTAATAATTATTATTACCATCCATTATTATCATTAATTAAAAGTTACCTTAATTCTTCCAACTACAGTTAGATATCCTTCGGAGTTAAGTGTACCGAGATCCCTGTGAATTAAGGATATGGATAAACAGTTAATAAAGAAAGCTAACATAAGTAAGATTTCATCCAAGGTTAGTGACATGAATCACAATATGTAAATTTTTAGAACTAAATGACTGCCCCATCTATTTACAATTGCATATAATAATAATAATAATAATAATAATAATAATAATAATAATAATAATAATAATAATAGAATGATATAGTTAGGTCATTTTCCAAATTCATTAATTCGCTGGTTCTTATGTCATTCAACGCAGCACAAATAAACAAAAAATAAAATGTTTAATGTCTTCTTCGCAATTACTGTTGCATGTAGTACATCCATCATTATTTCGGAGTACTACTGCTTATCCTGCGGTCTAATGGGAATGTATTCGATCTAAGTTTAAAATTAATTGAGGCACTATTAAAGCCTATAGAATATAGGAGGTAATTCTCTAACTCTGGGTTGTTTTTAAATGTTGCATAATCTCTAAGGATAAAGAGATAATAAAAGTCCAATTAGTTGACACTCGCATAAAGCTTAAGCCGGTCACTCATTGCGTCATCTATAGGACGAAATCAACTCCGCTCTTAGATCGAAAAGTACGATTTAATATTGTAGTATTAGTTTAACGTATGGTGCCCCAAGGCACTAAGCTGGGGCCTTTGATATTTATTGCTACTATTGACGATGCTCTAAGACATACTAATATAAAGTATTGGAAATATGTAGATGATATTAGTTTATGTGAAGTTGTTACATGGTCTGAACAATGCTGCCTCACTCTTAACCCTGTCAAATGCAAATATATGTGCATTAACTTTCAAAGAAATTAAATTGACTATCAACATATTTATATGGGTACTGATGTTCTTGAAAGAGTATCTGAGGTTAAAATGGGCCAAAAATATTAAAGATTGTTTGCAAGATATGTAGAAGTAAACGTCTACATATGTTATCCAGGCTTAAAAGGTTTGGGGTACCCATAGAAGAGGTGGTTGATACGTACAATAGAAGCTGTTTGAAATATGCAGCGCATGTATGGCACTCGGGCCAAACAACTGAGCATTAAGTAACTTGAAGACAGGATGCAGTGAGAGTGTCCGGCTTTTAACAGGATTAGGGACATGTTGGTTTTGCGCGAGCTGCTGCAGATGCCACGGTTTTTCAGCCAGTGGCCAGGGCAAGATAATAGTAATAATGACATAAAATAAATTGCTTTTTAGAATGTATTGGTATTGGAGGGTAACAGAAAATAGTTTTTTCTGCATCTATCTGTTGAGTATTATTTTTATTCACAGAGATAGAAAAAATAAACACAAAAAGGAAAGTAAGGTAATTAAATTGTAATAATATGTTCTATAGTTTAATGGTATTACAGTTACATATGAAATTGTGCAGAACATTGTCTTTAAAAATATGCTCACCCTGTCCGGTACCAACCATCTTTGGTTACTGCCTCTTTTGTTTTCTTGATATCATCATAGTACCCGTTGAAAGCCACTGGACTTCGGACCCAGATTTCACCTGTTTTACCAACTTCTAAAGTAATTCCATTTTCATTAACGATTTGAACCTGAACCAAAGTTAATGAATTTTAAAAACTACTATAAATTTCCGCAACAATTATAATGTCTATATATAATCATGTGATTCAGTTGTAGCGTACATTTTTGTATTTTATTTTAACACGATAGTAACAGTGGATAGTAGTAACAGTAGCTGCAACAGCAGCAGGAGCAGCGGCAGTAGTAGTATCAGAAGCAACAGACGCAGCAGCAGCAGCAAAAACAACAACAGTAGACTATTCTTGCTCTAAAAGGTCATTATGCTTATTTAGACTATATAAAATAAGTGATGCAAATATTATATTATAGTTTAAAGGTTTCCTACATACAGTATACTTTTAAAGGTAATAAAACGGTTGGTTTAGTTCTACCTCGACGCTCGGCATCGGTTTACCAACTGTTGCATACGTTTCTGGCTTGTCGTCTAGTTGTAAACAGCATGCGGTATTTATCTCGGTTGTTCCGTAATCAATCTATAGAATAAAAGTGGTATAGACTTTATATGTCTCACGTAAGCTCTTGTCACAGTGTAAAATTATTACAAACGTTTTAGTTAAGTTTTTCGTTTTGTATGTATGATAGACACCTGATATTCAATATTCACACTATTAAATTGTTTGATAAATAAATTGTCATACTCGTAGGCATTTTAGGGACAATCTAAATAAGTGTCTGCTGGATCTATTCCTATGCAGGTCGCTACGATTTCTCGAAGGTCTATACTTTCTATGCTGCTGAATTCTAGATGTCATCATTTGACGTCTTAGTAACACCTAATAAAGAATCAGATGATCTATAAAGTTAACGCCACTTCGCCGCGGAGTTAACTGAGATCATTGGCATGTTCTTTATAAGACAACTGTTGTTTGCCTTTTACGTGCGAGTCATCACGGAACAGGTTAGTTGTAATCACATGAATTTCTGGTATAACGGGTGTATTTATTGGAGTTAACTTATCGAGTAGATGCTCGACTGGTGATAATTTGTGTTACTTATTTAACTTTAACTCTTTAGTCTACCTACAGAAAAAAATACAACAAAAAACACATAAGGTTAATACAAGCTGACACCTAATCTATCAAAATGTTAGTTTACATATAAAAATTATAAAATCAACAGATTGAGTTGGTAATAAATCATTTCTATTAACTCTTTTCTTCCTATGTACTTCTAGCCCTACCCACTTCTTATTTTAATCCTAAATTGTGCTTACCAATCTGTCATAAAGGTGATTCTGATATTTAATAAAAACAATAAATCAATGTACAAAAAATGGGAACAAATTATTAAAAAATAAATAAATAAACAGCAGACAATCTTCAGAGAGAAACATAAGAAATAGCAGTAATACAGATCTACCGGTAGAGCACTTTTCTTCCTATGTACTTCTAGCCCTACCCACTTCTTATTTTAATCCTAAATTGTGCTTACCAATCTGTCATAAAGGTGATTCTGATATTTAATGAAAACAATAAATCAATGTACAAAAAAATGGGAACAAATTATTAAAAAATAAATAAATAAACAGCATACAATCTTCAGAGAGAAACATAAGAAATAGCAGTAATACAGATCTACCGGTAGAGCACTTAAATAAAATAAAATAACCACACTGTATGTATGTAAATAGTTATTTTTTAAGCTCTGACCGCTTCTTCTATGCACTTATTGCATACCACTTGCATAATTTGTAAAATACAATTAGCACATCTATATTGTGTGCGTAAGTAGAATCTCCAAAAGTGACCAAGACCTTATAATCAATGTTGGCTGATCTAAATGTTTGCCAGACATCTTGGAATATCTAACAAAATAGATATTTAATACTTACAAGCGTACGAATGCCCCGTTTTTTCCACAAGTGAGTGACAACAGCCTCAGGAATAAGTGAACCTCCGCAAGTGCCTTTTAGACGTAAAAAATAAAACATGATTCAGCATTTATTCTATAAATATGTATGATATAATTATAGATTTACCCGTGTCCACTTCGTTCCAATTAGCATAAAAGATCCGATTGATGGTAAATTACCATCACTCGTTTTGCTCACAGACAATACGACAGACCAGTATTCTGGGGCATGGTCGTGTCGTGGTCGTCCTCAACACGACAATCAATCTCATCTTGTATTTTGTAGTTACTATAATTAATTTGTCTCATTTGTTATAACATTATTCATAACTTAATGTGCAAATCGGCCTATGAAACATTCTGTACTGTGTGCTTGTCTGCAATGTAAGTTTGATTGTTTAGAACACCTGTTTAGTTCCTAATACTGTAGCTGCCTCAACTTAGCTTTAATACGCAGATTAATAAAGACACTAGTGTAACAACAAATAACAACATTCATAATTATTAACATTCAGAAAATAGCGATACAATCATAACGCATAATTAAATTATCAATAAATCAAGCTTCAAGCTTACCGGTATGTAGTTTTGGCGCAGCGTGAAAGCGGTTTGGCGCAACGTGAAAGGTTTGGTTTCCAACCTGGATGTCGGGGTTTCAATCCCTAGCTGTGCATTTCGCTTGTGTCCTTGAGCAAGGCACTTTATCTACATTGTTTTTCTCCACCCAGGAGTATAAATGGGTACCTGGTGGGGTTTCTTGCTCCTGAGCTGAATACAGCAGCAACAATGACCCGGGACAGGTTATGTAAAGCGCCGCTGATTACGATGTATGTTGTAGAAAATGTGCGCTATATAAATGTTCAAATTAAATTTAAATTAATTAAAAAATTAAATTTATTTATAAATATCAGCACTGCTACATCCTCAATATCAACTGTAATTACTAATTATATCATTATTATCATTATTTTAGTATATTATTATAATTATTATTATGTTTATCATTGGTAAGTCATTTGTAACAAAATAATTCCATAGTCAAAGATCCTCGTTAGCAACAGTCTTACAGTATAACCCGCATTAGTGTACGACTTTCAGTGAATCATCGACGAAGGAAATTTCAAACACAATAACTTTAAATTTAAACCTAGAATGCTTACAATGCAATCTTATATAAAATAATCAAAAGGTTCAATATAGCAATTGTCATGGTGATTATGAACACAATTATAAGTGCGAGTAATATAGTAAATTATCGTATTCTGTGAGTATCTTCGCATGGAATTAACTATTTGCTACGCCTGGGACTAAACGCCAACATACACTATAATACGCAAATCCAACTCCGTGAGAACTCCATACAAAGCAAAAAAGCTATACTGTACATAAACAAACAAAACAAACAAAAAAGCAAAACAAACAAACAAACAGACGCATAATACCACAATATTTCTGCTAATCAAGAAGTATAATATGTTCCTTGTATATTACTTATTACTATAAACATTGAATACAGAATATTTAATGTTCGGGTGTCACTAATTCAGAAATTCAGACACATCAATAAGAACATCAATCATTCAAGTAACCGTTAGAGAGGGCCCTATGACAAATGTAACGTAGTCCTATGTATCGGTATCTGATACAGTAACTATAAGATTAATATCGATAAGTCTAATGTACACTAAACCCTACGCACAGAGACCTGCAGTGTATATTTATTATGACATTAATATCAACAAGTTTACTCTAATGTAAACCATACCCTACGCAATGCTAGGGTGTATATTTACCTGCTTTCAACGACGATAAATCATACTTTTCGTTAATAGGGTTGTAGGCTAAATCAATGATACCATTAATCATTAAACTGAAAAATGTACACCTAAAACAAACAAAAAGAATAGCAAACTGTAGCTGTTAAAATATTGTACAAACGGAAATAGTACACATAAATCCATAACTGTAATAAAATTCACCCTGCATCCAACAGGCCTATGCTTCTTTTATACTTGGAACGGTAACGATAAAAAGCAATTGTTCACATAGTGAATAAAAGAAATAAGGGGAGTTTTTACATTTGGACGATTCAATAACAAATAAAATCGTTGATACTACTACGATTATATCTTTCTTTCCATAATTATGACATCATTTGAATTGATTTGTCAACATATTTTATTATCGTATACACGATAAAACGTTATTGAATCGTCTAAAAATAAAACTTAATTATTTCTTATATTTTATATATGAACAATTAATATCGCGACAAGATTTGATTGACAGATAAGCAGACTAATCAGCGAGCGTCAATTAGTCACTTTTTCTCGGAAATTTTAATTTCCTTAGACAGCGGTTTAGACGCGGAATATACGTGAGTCTAGGCCTAGATGTCTATGCTTGGTTATAGATACCCAGATTTACACGAGCAGTGCGCATCAGTGACTTGACCTTTGCCGACAACAAGGTTGACTGAATGCGGCTTTTCCCTCTTCCTGTGGGAGTGAACTACAGAGGCTTTTACATATCCCCGCCATGTTCCATGAAATATATTAACACTATGAATATATTATTCATTTGCATACCGCCTACCATGAATTCTCTTTCTTTTAAAGAAGGTTTATAGTAAAGAATATCTTCGCCAACTCGATAGGCTTAAGTCTAGCCACCGTTGTCTAAGGTTTTCGTGACTTTGCGGGCGGGGCTTCGAGTCCTTGTCGAAATGTCAATTGCTTTTTAGCTTTTTATCGTTATCTTTGCAAGTATGGACAGACCTTAAGAGTAATCTCTACAATAATTGCTGTCATTCGGATAATTGAACCGGTGTTAGAGAGTCATTACATAAGGTATCAAAAGCAAACATAGTGTGTTGATCTTCAGACAAGTTAGTAGTTTTGGTTCAGGAAAGCCGATCCTATAAAGACCAATTCTCTAATGGCCACGATACAATTTTTTAAAATTTTAACTTAATATAAACTTGTTAGTTCTAACAGTAAATTTTGTCAATCTGCGTTTCTGAATACAAAATAATAACACAATGAAAGATGTACATACGCTAATATTTTACACTTTAAAGAGTTTCTAATTAAGAATGAAAAACTGGTTTAATTAATTTGAGGGGTGATGCGTATTAAATTATAATTTTGATATTAACAAAACTTCCAAGCTAAGTACGATTATGTTTACCTTGGTGTTTAATAAATATGCTTATGCCTAATTGGTTATTACAATTATATCTAACTCTAAAAATTTACAAAAAAAAAAAAAAAGAACAAGAACAAGATACGGCCCACCTTTCAATTTCAACACCCTGTACAAATTTCTCATAAGAGTAGATCGGTGATGTATATACAGATGTGGATCCTATGACCAGAGGAGCAACCTGACTAAACTGAATATCTTGACTGTATGCTATGTTGCCTGAACAGGCAAATTTGTTAACCTTAAATGAAATAGTGTTAGTGTTATTTTAATTCAGTAGTCGAATAACATTGATGAGGAACGCAGGTGCGTTCGAAATATTTGTTTAATAAAATTGTATGTTCCAAGAGTCAACGACTGACATCAATTTATTCCCCGTTACAAATC